TGTCAATACAGACCAAACATAGGCCATGAGACATGACATACATGTTGAATGACGGTATTTCTAGTTGAGTAATTTTGATTCTGAGCATACGACATCGGTTTCATACCTCAGGGTGTTAGAAACATGTCCGCCCAAACACACATACACATACATAATGTCAAAAAACAACACTTTTCCAGGTTAACTATTATATCATATGAATAATGTTATAACCGTTTAGTAATAATTTTATTTTGTTGATCTACATGAACAATTGAAACACCTCTAATTTAAAAGTGACTTATAGACCCACTGGGTTATTACAATAACATGTACACATGTCACTATGATAAAATTTTTACTTACTTACTTGCTTGCTTGCTAACTTACTGTTTAACTTAACACAAAAATGTCTTGCGCAATCTTAAAAAATTGCTCAAGTAGAACTACTTGATTAGAGATAATCGGCGATGCACTTCGAACGTATGTTGCTAACCTCTCATATGACACACAATAATGTGATTTTTGGAAAATCATATTACAAATTATCTATAAATAGAGTAGGTATAATATATATAAGGACATACATTCCGTGCGCCTTTATCAGTACTTACGGATATTCTGTCACGCAAAGCCATTAAAATATTGAGGTAAAAATTTATTATGTGTTATCAATACTATATGTGTTTTTTATGAACAAATTTTAAAATTTCAATAAAAAACTTGTTTATCACAAATATATAACTTTTTGATTTTCTTAAATTCTTACATCTTTAGCTTTTTTTGTATGAAAATAACGTAATAAAATATTTATATATATACTTGAATTTATTTTATGACAGTTTTAAACTGATAAATGTCATAGAAACTTCCTTTTCTCTGGTATATTTTTACCAAAAATGAAAATCTAGACCCACAGCATTACCAGACTTAAAATTACATGTAAAAGCATTTTCTTTAAGTCATCCGTAAATTTTGTTTTTAGAAAAAAAGATGTATTAGCTGCATTTTGATACCTTTTTATTCAATTTTGAACGTGATGCAATGTGATTTAGAGTTAGAGTAAATAAGTTTAACCACTAAAACTCGTTTGTATCTACCTAGTTTAGTTTGTGGATTTTATGAATTTAAAACGCCTTACTCATTGTTGCATTACAATGAGTCTAAAGATTACCGTCCAAAACGGACATATGAGCTTTTAAAAGACAACTTTTATACATAATTCAATTTTCTCCAGTCGTTTGTTAGCTGATGTTATTTTTTTTCTGATCAATTACTAGTAGAACAACGTTTTTCATAAGAATTATAGATTACTTAGAACTCCTGTATTTCTTTACAAAAGCCTTTTTAAAATGCAAGCTTTTATTCATTCAGAATAATGTCCATTATTCGTAAACTTTACAGTAAATCGTGGTTAAATTTTGCATACAGGTGTTCTTTAAGACATATAGTCGACCTATATTGTCAATATTCAAGTTCCTTATAGTGCTCATTAGGGTGGTCATACATTAAATACAGATAAAGACGGAGCTCAACGAATTGTTTAGAGCTATTTAGGGTTGTGTTTTATCTATTTTAGTTTCTCATGCATTTATATCAAGTGCCAAGCAAGTATTCAGTTACGTGACCATACATGAAACAAAACAAAAACTCTGCTAAAAAAATTGTTATACATGTTATAAAGGAAACTTAAATTTATATACACACTGCCATGAAGACATTATTCATTCTTTTAAAAAGGGCAAACATAAGTTTTATTACAATTAAATAGTGCTTTTATAGCATTTTAGATACTCATCACCTAGAGAAATAAGGGCTGAATGTGAAATTATTTGTCATAAAAGAAGAAAAAATGTAAACAAGTAGTTCTTTAACTTCCATATGAAATAATAAATCATTATATTTGTACTAATTGCTAAAAAAGCAACATAAACAAAAGACGGTTCATGTAAATTGCAAATAAGTTAAATTTTGTAAACTAAAACAAAATACCAAAAAAGAAAAGCTTTTGAGAATACAGATGAAAGCAGTTTTGAAGCAGAGAGGGCCTTATAATCAGCAAATATTCCTGCTCTTTTCTCGCCCGACTGACATCATTTTTATGTTATATGATGTAAGAGAATGAATGACTAATTAGTGTCCTTATTGACTGTCTCCTTATGCTAGCGGTTTGTGTAGATTGTTTTCTGTTAAATGCCCATTATGCCTCAGAAATGCTTTTATTTTCTATTTCTCAAAAGCTTTTAAATTTTGATGTACGTTTTGAGTATACAAAATGTTACACATTCGCCAATTTCATGAACATCTTTTGAATCTGTTGCTTGTTGGCATTACGTACAGTTATAGTAAATTAGTATTTCGAAGGAAAGTCAAAATACTACTTTGTATACATTTTGCTACTTTTATGGCACTCTATTCCAGATCACTAATTTCTTTAGGTAATAAGCATCTAACATTCTCTAATACAATTATTGAAACATTTGTCCAAAGAAGTGAAACATTATTTATTTCAGAGGCATAAACTGCCTTTCACAAGTGTTCAATAAACATTCATGTTTTACAAATCACATTACCAACTAAAAAAAATTCCTCAAGAGTCCAATTCATTGTTAACCTTAAAAAATAAAATCAATTTATCTAAATTCATTCAAATTTAAAATGTATGATTATTTGTTTGACTGAACAAATAAAAAGGATTTTAAAAAATGAAAAGGATTTTAAGGAAAAGAAAAAAATACAGCTAATTCCAAACGCGGAAGATAAAAGACCCGATAAAAAACTAAAATAGGCGATGGTAGGGTAAAATCTGCCCGTATCAATGATCTGTCTTATTCCCACTAAATAAACATACGATGTTCTAAATATTCTTTACCAAAAAGAAGTAAAACGTTTTCCAATCCTTAGATATGATATTTTAAAAGTGGTTATCAAATTTATGTAAGTTTCTTTTATCATATTGTTGTAAAGATCCATTTTACCCTGTAAAAGGAAAATGAAAATGCCCTACCATCAGTTAAGTATAATGGCCGACATGGCAACAACGTGACGCACGATAATGTGCTGTTTTTCATGTGTCGCAGCGACAAGCCGAAGAAAAGACGATAACGATACATGTATTTGTTGTGTTGTCGCTAGCGACAACGCAACGCACAAACGTGAAACAAATCAGCCACTATGAAAAAAAACACAACACATTCAACTTTTCAAATTTTGTTGGTTTTGCCCGGCGCGGCGAAAATAAAAAAGACACGACAAAATAAAAAAAAAACATAGATTGTAGCGTGTTTTCGTATTATATTTCGGCACGAAAGGCCGCCAAGCGAAATCAAGACAAACCCATAATTTGTCGTGTTTTCGCATTACACGTTTTCGCTCCGCCATACAAAGATTTGACAAACTTTAGGTAATATTTTCGTGTTTTCGCATTTTCGCCATACGACATGGCGCAATTCAGCCACCAAAATTTTATAACGACTTGACACTAGAAATTTTATAAATGAAACTAAAACATGAAATTGTATAAAATAAATTATTTTGGCTTGAAAAATCATTGGCGAACCGCCAATGTTTGTATGTGGGGTTTTCACAAAAAGGAAGAGATTGTATTTTCCGAAATTTACGAAACTTGAAACAACAGGTCAACAGCATAACACGAGTTTAAAAAATGTGTCATAACACCTATCTTATAGATTATACATCTTTATCTTATTATATCTCTATTTTGTCACTTTGATATTAACTCTGATATCAATATTGTCTTCATTTGTTTTATACGTTTCTATTTTCTTGAAAGTTAAAAGAACGACTATACATTACGTTGATGAACTATGGCAACACAGCAAGCAAGGAAAACTATGCTATATTCCCCAGCGGACAAGAATAAATGCAAATCTGCAGTTTCCAGGCTTCTCAAAGAAAAAGTGATCTCCCTGGACGCAGAGGGTGTTCAACTAGGTAAAGATGGACCACTGACGTTACTACAGATAGGGACATTAGACGGGGAGGTCTACTTGTTTGATGTTATGATTAACGAGAAGAAACAAGATAAAAAATTCTTCAAAGATACTACACTTGACAAAATTCTCACAAGTACAACCATAGTTAAAGTAAGATGCTGTTATCTCCGAGGTTTATTATTAATCAGTTTTTTAAAGGGTAAATATTCGAAAATGATTATATGTTTGTAATAAAACATCTGAAAGATAAAAGATGTTCTATATATTTTACATATTATACTAAAATAGATTCGTCTGAATTTCTCCTGAAGATATGAATAAGGCGCAGGTACTAGTTTCTTATTTCTTACAATATATTTTTGGCAAATTTGTAAGTCTTTGAAATTGATGAGGAACGTGTTTTCAGCATTTTCCGTCGGTCAGACCCACTGACAAGTTCACAGGCATTATTTTTCAGTGGCATTATGAGTATAAACTAATTTTTGTGGTTTAAGTCATTTGTAGACAGGTATTCAGGTAATGATATTATGGTAATAATAACAACATACCATAATAACAACATACCATTAAATGAAGAATCTGTAAAATGAGTATTTGTATACATAACAAGTCACTTTAACAGGATAAGATATCTCATTTCAAAACAGAGCATGTAGGATTTTTTTTCTTTGCAATTGAAATTTAAAGGTAAATGCTATAGTGTGTTTTAAATGATCTTCAAATTTTCATTTTTGTTTTCTAAGGATTGAATGCTAAAATATGAATATGTACAATGCGTAGTATATTAATTTTACTGCGTCTTAAATTAAGGGAGATTTTACTGTAAGCCTAAAAAGGAGTTTTCATGTACATTGTTCTTGAACGATTTGCATGACTGTTTAAATGTAAATTTACGAGTTTCTTTTAAATATATTTTAATGTAGAGTGTTTAATCTTATCTAATCAGATCTTCATTAATATCTAAAAAGTTTTTCGATGACTTATATTTTTCGGGTTTTTCATCTTGCTCATGACAGTCTGTATTTTATCACCATTTTTGGTATATTTGGATACGTTTTTGACACACAGGTAGTTGCTATACACTTAGTCTGACAGGCGGCTATAGAATCTTACATGCCTCCAGTGTATATTAAGATCAGCCGACACGTTCTTGCCGTGCCGTCTGATCATGGTCTGTTCTATTCCCTATTCACTCAGTTTATATTTAATTTTTTCCCCCTAAAATGATGAATGATCTTGTCCAAATTAATTGAAAGACAATTTTCATTAAGATAGAGTGACAATGGTTTTTGTTAAAGAGATAGCTATAATGTCTAAACATCAGTTATGTTTAGCTTATTCACGACCTTTTATTGCTAAAATGTCAGAAAAGGACAATATACCATTCATTTACATATATATGCATGTACATTACACATAAAATGTATTGAATTAGAACCAATCAAAGTATAAATATAGAATGAATTCATTTACAAATTATAGTTTTATTAAACTACTCCTCAATCGCCCCTGTGATTCCACATCACAAGTCTAATGCCAGACTAAATAATCTCTAAATATAATTAATAATAGTAGTTCTTGCTTTCTAAATGTACTTATTAAAAGCATAGCTTTTACAAACGTATGATACGCTATCCGCATTAATTTTCTAATTAGTATTTTATTGAAAAATGCACATTCTTACATTTTCTTTCATATCGTTTATCTTTACTCTTGTATGTTCAGTTAATAATTGACATTTTTTTAACAAGGTAGCACATCTTGTGATTGAGAGCACAAAGGGAAACGACTTCCTACTAGAGAGAAACTTGCAGACATTTGTAAACTGTATTCTGAAAATGCCGAAGTTTACGAGGGCAAGGATGACGTAAAGGTGATGATCTTGAAACTTGTTATCGACAACGCGATGTTCGTGGAGTTTTTAATCGAAATGGATTTTTTTGTGTGTAAACAAATAAACTAACAAATTTCAGCGTATTGACGGCCCTATACAATATTTTAATAAACTAATGCAAAGAAAACCAAAACAAAACAATTTATAATCGCCGTGCATATGAAAATATTCTAAATTTAATGGAATATAAAAACGCAAGTCTCGTAGTCCTATTACATTTTGAACAGCTTCGTATATGTTCTCTTCAATTATGCTTACTTTCAATGCAGGTTTGACCATAAATTCATCCAGTGTCTGTTTTCGACGTTTTTGATGTTCACAATGTAACTAAAACAGAACTATAAACATGATAGTTATATTTTACATCAAATTACATTCCAGAGTTTTATTTTACCTCAAATTACATTACAGTTGGAGTGGAGCAAGATTTCTGGCAATTACTGGGCGAAAAGACCTATGACACAAACAATGATGGATTATGCCAGTGGAGACGTTACATCTCTCATTCCAGAAGTTTACGAAACGCAAAAAGAGTAAAGCTTTTGTTATGTTATATAATTTTATGTAGATATATGTAATAATCACTTGCCCGCACCCTTATGGCTGAGGGGTTGCCTTTAAGGTTAAGGTATCAAAATTAAAGTCACCGTTCAACCCTGCGTGATAGTAGAAGGCGACAAAGTGGGTAATTTGTATCTCTTAGCCCTAGCAAGTGAATTGGTTTTGACCAATTGTGTTGCTTTTAGCTTACAACACCCTCGGATAGCCAAAATCATCTTGAATTCCTGTTTTGACGCCATATGACATAATCTGTGTTGGTGCGCCGAAAATCAAACAAAAAAGACAAAAAGGCATCTGTCCACTTAGAGCCGTTATTTTTGGATATTTTTTAGACTGCGTTCCATGAACGTTGCTCTATCTTGTTGAGTTTTTATTCTTGAAGTTTTTTTGCACCCACTGTAAGAAATTTATCTTCCTAGGACGATGGACAATCTATCTGATATTCTTACTGTGTTTTAAAGTGCCTGCCTGATGTAATGCACATATGAGTCGGTTTTACTTCCTAAAAATATTATCATGTAGTCACGGGACATGCTGTGTTGCATAAAACGTTGGCCAGAAAAATATTGATTTGACATTATAACATCACATAAAAATATATTACTCATAGATTGTGGAACTTAATTGATAAATATTAATTATATGTACGTGTTTTTTTTTACAAACTTCATTAATGTGATAATTTATAAAAAATTTTTTAGATATATCACAAGAAATCAACTCCTTGACTTGTATGAAGAAAGGGTTCTTGAAGAAATAGAATTATATATTGAGCCGGCTGCAAAAGAAAAGCGCAAACATAGAAATTTTGATATCAGAATGGATATTCTTGGAGACATGGCCAAAAAGTACAGACGAGGAACTGTTTATGAAAGCATTACGGATGAAGATGAGGTAAGTAAATGTAATCTAGGAATACAGCCAGAAAGCAAACAAAGTGAGAAATTAGACTTAATTGTGCTGAATTGTCAAAATAAGCCGGGATTATACACATTTTTACGAAATATTTATGCTTTTATACAACACAAATTAATTTCAGCTAAAGATAAAAAAGAATATGATCTCATGCTACGGTAAAACTTGGTAAAGATCCCGATAAAAAATGGGCTTTAACATGTGTCCGGTATTTCTTTAATGTCACATTTTTCATTTTGTTATTGCTAACTGAAACAAGCCAATCATAAGAGCAAGTATGTTCTTTTATATATCTTCTCATTTAATGAAATCTTTCTTCAGATGAGCCTGTTTTCCAGCGTTATGAATGATTAAAAAGAAATTTATAAATGAAAAACCTTTTGATTGATACATGTTTAAATGATATATTTATCTGAACTTGAACAGATCAAGACATTGAAAGATACCAACTTTTCTGAGCTGGCTGATCACAGTAGCGTTATAACAGAACTGAAACTGCAGTCTATGGCAATAGATAAATATAGAATCCCTAAAGAAAGCCCAACACAGCAAAATTGAAAATGTTGCAGGCTCGGTTTGATTGAGCCTGTTCATGGACGGTACTGGAAAGTGCAAGTTACCGTCCACGCCCCCTAGCACCGGCTTAAGCAGAATTCAACATTTAAACGTGAAATAGTAAAATTTTGAATTTAGAAACATCCGCAGATGTGTTCATACGGCGGTTATCATGGAACCTTCAATGTGACACTTACGTGCCATTCCATGAAAAGCGGCGTATGGTCCCCAAGTAATAAAAAGCGTGTGCCCTAAACGAGAAAACAATGGGCGGAACTAAATAAAATGGAATTTAGAAAGGGGATCAAAGGTTATGAAGCCTGCGTATCACAGATAAGACGTCAAAAGACAAATTTAAAAAGCAGGCAACATATCCTAAGGGTGATTCAACATTATTCAAGTAGGAATATTGGAACCACCCAACTAGAAATTGCCGAAAAGTTGAAACTAAAAATACTACAAGCACAACAATAATGTCGTGCTGAACGATCTTCAAGGATCGAAAAAATAACATCATTGATTAAATGTACGGGGAGACTTTTTACCTGACGTCACTTGAAGAAAAACTTGAGACACCAGAGGAGTTCAACCCAGATCGTGGCGTCAATTTTAAACTGACTGACATTGAACGTTTTGGCTCAGAGCAACTAAAGAACGATGCGTTACGAATTAAAGCAAAAGTCGATGATGTTATATTTTCTGATGTGCAGAGGAAGTACAAAGCCGATGAACCGCCCGAGAACTTATCGTCTCCAGAATATCAGATTATCAGAAATCTTAAACCAATTAGAGATAATGCCCCAAACTACCCACCAACTGTTCTTGCAATACATTGGAAAATTGCGGCAACTGAAATGCAAGACGCTACTGATGGACTTAATGACGACCCCGATTACAACATGACAATTCCGGTTCCTAAATTAAAGTTCTTCACTTACAACACTAACGTTCCCGGAAATGCGCACAAGCATTGCTGGAAAAAAATGAGTCTGCAATTGTGCGTAGAATCCCGAGGAAGTATACGAAAAATTCTCAACTTTCCGATCTTACGACTTCAGAAAAGATGGTCTTGGAACGTTTGAAAATTTCTTCAGAAAGTTTCCACCCTGTCATTGTTAACCTTCATTGGAAGGTTAATGCTGAGAAGTTGGAAAAGGACATAGCAGATTTCCGTGCTGGAAACCTCAATGTCAATGATGGTCTACGGAAGAAACTAGACTTTTTTCAAAAAAATAAATCAGTTCCAGTGGAAGTAAAGCAAAAGGCGTTAGCGTTTCTGCAACTATTACCGCCGTCCCAGGGTAACCGTGGCAGAGGGAGGGGGAGGAGGTATTAAACAGTTGAGCATTGAATCTATGCAGACAAATATGCTAGACAATGACTAGTTTATTGAAACATATTGTTTAAACAACATTTATTTGTGACCTTTTCATTTACATAGTAAAGAACGTAAAATAAATTTTACCGATTGAGTAGGAAGCTTTAAAAGCATTTCTGTAATCAATAGTTTACAGATTTTAAATAAATAGTGACAAAATTTACAATGTATAAACTAAACTATACATATCATTTCAACGTGTGCTTGCTTTCTTACGTATACATAATATCGTTATAATAAGTATTCATGAACTAAACTGTTCGAGTTGAGTTTAATGTATATAAACACGAACAAGAATTTAATTTGAAAGATGAATACATGTACATCGTTTAATCTATTTAACAAGTACCATGGAAGTTGGAAAAATCATTGATTAAAAATGAATAAGAAAAGGAAAAAGAAGTAGAAATAGATAAAAAAAAAACATTTACTAAGTTACATTTATTTATATATCAAAATGGTTCGAAGAAAAAAAAGATAATTGATAAATTGCACTAATTGTGATTGTCATGTAATAATTTGACGTTGTATTTTTTTAACTGGTATATTTCTTTATTTCTGTCTGTGATATTTTTTACATGAAAGGTTTTTATCTTTTATAATGAGTGATCAGTATAGCGTTTTATACATACGAAACATGTTTTTAAATTATGATAATGTGGGCTTCTGTATATTTTACAATAGTACATATGAATGATTGATTTATTGTGCAATGTTGATGCAATTAAATATTATATAAAAATGATACATCTTTCTCATACGAAATTATTTTTAAAAAAATCCTTGGTAAAGGGAAGCAATTATGTTATATGCAAAATAAATAAGAAAGAATTGCCTTCCTTGAATATCAAAATATCAATATTTTCCAGATTTTGGTTTAGTTTATATGCATGGTGTAAATCTAACATATGATCAAATGTTATGAATATTACATTTAAAATAAGAAATACACCATGTTAGAAACTCATTTTACCAAAAAAGGAAAGTCCAAGGAAACATAAGAAGTAAATGCTCAGATAGAAAATAAAGTTCTACATCACCAACCTTCAAACTATGACTTTGAAAACGTTATTTTATGCTATAAAAGAAATAATCATATTAAGAACATAATGATAAGCCATTTTCTAATTTGTGAAACAGAATATGTATGCATATTTCACTGTTTGAGAAAGTTGGCTAGTAAACAAACACTAGATCTGAATGTGCCACTCTCAATACAATTAAACTTGAAGATTATCTCTACAGACATGTTGCTAAAAGCAATTGGTTATTGAATCATTCAGCTAGAAAGGAAATACAAACATGTATTGCCATTTGTTTATTTTTGTGGAGTGATATGGTATTCACTTATTATCTTAACATAAGCAGTAGTAAAATGTTGTTTTGGAAAGATACTTTAAATGCTTTTGTTCAATTGTGTGAAAGAAATGTTCCATGTTCTGATAAATTGTTGAAATATCCATTGTTTTATATCCCAAATATATTGATTGGTGAAAAGGTATACTTTTAAAATGGTGTTCAGTGTATAGGTGACATGTTTAACATGAATGGGTTTTATATGAGATCAATGAATTCAAATTTTTTTTTTATAGTTTGAGTGCTATGTTTTAGCATGTAACACAGCAGTTAAATATTTTAAAATTGCTTTGATGGTTATTCTGTAAGTGGTTTGAAAAACATTTCAGGACCTTTTATTCCACCAATGCTATCTCAGATTTTGAAAGAAAAATTAAAAAGTTCACAACATAATATATTAAGATCAAATAACTGTACACCTGTTTTTAAACTTAAATGGGAACAAAACTTAATGCTAAATTTGAAGATAAAGAATGGAACAACATTTTTTCACACGAAAAACACGAATTTACCATGGTTTCAATACAAAATTGTACACAGAATACTTGACACAAGAATAATGCACGGTTTGCGTTCAAATGCGTAGTAATTTAATCACGAAGGCCGATAGGCCTCATCAATAAATTACAAAGCATTTGAACGAAAAAACGTGCATTATTATTCAATAATGCACGAAGAATTAATATCTATTTCCATTCTAACACGTCAAGAAAAAATATAATAACTATAGTTGGACTTTATGGTTGGTGGTTAAATTTGTTTTCTCCTTAGAGTTTTCAATACAAACGTTCTTTAAAGGCTGTTCCAGTTGGTTGGAAAACAATCTGTCGTTAAATCTACCCTATGTAGAAACATTTTGAGAATAAAGAATTTTGAAAACGTTGATAAAAGTTTGTTTGTTTATTTTATTTCACTTTAAATTTTTCAAGCGAAAAACAAAGTATAAATAGTGAAATAAAAGTGAAATTTTACTCGTTTGCGACATTGAAATAGCATTCTTAAGTTGATTGTTTTTTTGCACGTGCAGTTTGGCAATACATTTTGACGTCGCGTAAACAACACTTTAAACGTCTGTACAGCGTTAACGACTGAATCAAAGATATTGGTGTTCGGATTCATTTTCTTAGACCATTTTCACTGCGAAAAAGACATGGATATACGGAAGTGTACGGAATTCCGTATATCATTAATATACGTGTAAGAATACGGAAAACTTGAAATACGGAGATGTACGGGACCGTATATTATATCAGTCCGTACATGACTAGTATACGAACTCCGTACACTCGTAATATACGGGAACTTTGATGTACGAAGTCCGTATTTTACTAATATACGGAATTTTTATAACAAGTCCGTATATTACTAAAATACGAAATTCCGTATTCGTGCAAATACGGATTCTGTATATAGAAATAGCGAATGAAAATTTACTTCTGAATAGCCTATTTTCTGTAAGAGTAAAGAAATAGTCTGATCATATATTTGTCAGACATTTGACAATTAACACAATGCAAAATTTCCTGGAGTTATTAACGCGTCAATTGCGTACAAATAATATCGTCAGTGCACAGAACGTGTAAGACATCTACCTGTAACATGCAGACGCGGTATTCTAGGTTTGCTTTTTAGCATACACCCGCAGATAAATAGCGAATACTTTACAATTGCGATTGACGATTAAACTGTACTGTTTTGCATTTTGCATCTATGGTGAATCATGTTATTTTGTAATTTCCTTATCATTATCATTATAATATTTCATAATGATAAGCCAAACATGAGAAAATGATAAAGTTGAAATTGTGATGTTCAAAACATGAATTAATTATAATAAAATCGTGAATCTGTGAAGTTGAAATCGTGAAAGTTAAAATAATTGTGAAATCACGAAGATGAAATCGGGATTGTCCACACAGCAATTAAATTTTACGTTGATATATGTCCTATGAAAAATAGGCTATACATAATATAATACATATACTTGCATATGTAAAAAAAAACCAATGATATCTCATTCATTCATTCATTCATTCATTCATTCATTCATTCATTCATTCATTCATTCATTCATTCATTCATTCATTGAATCAATCAACCAATCATTCATTCATTTATTTATTCATTCATTCATTGCTCATTTATTCATATATTTCTTATTTATTATTTATTTATTTGTTTATTTATTTATTTAATCAACCAATCATTCATTCATTTATTCTACATTCATTCATTCATTACTCATTTATTCATATATTTCTTATTTATTTATTTATTTATTTAATCTTTTATTTCAGGAAACAAAGATTTGCGTTTCTGTACACAAGTTTTGAATAGAAATCTTATGAAGTTCCGAAATCCCCAATTTTGATTCTTTTCGCGCGGTCTCATTTATGACATAATATTTTGTAATAGCCACGTGCTGTATTGCCATTATCGAAGACAATACTGATTAAGCCGGATATTGATCCGGATATTGATCATAAACGCAGCAGGGTATATCGAGTGTCGGTTTTCTCCGATTAGGTAAGTTAGCGCAATTGGTGTTGAATGTCTTAACGGTATTTTCTAATATAATTCATGTACGAAATAAGGGAATTAAATTGTGATCTCATAACCGAGTCTCTATGTGATTTTGTTCCAGATATTATAAAGACTCTAACCCGACATATTAAAATGAAACAGACATAGCTGCTATATTCTTTCCAATGTTTTTGCAGCGTCGTGTTGTTGTTATCCTTTAATTTGGCGGAATTTGTCATTAAAACAAGACACAATTAAGATTTATCTTAAAGTAAACTTTAAAGTACCCTAGCTGCCGCCAGGTCCAATTATATCTAAGTTAACAAGCTAGAATCAGAGGGATGTCACTGGGTGTATGTACATGTAATGTTGATAGATGATGTCAAATTATTCGAAATAGCATTTCTTGAAAAATATCATCATCATCATCTCCCGAGTTTCCTCGTCTCCCATCAGCCGTGTTTCTGCATAATTCGGTGACTTGAACATTGTTCAGGACAGGGGAACTGACCGTGCTATGTAAACATTTGTTACTTTGTTAAAATAAAATTATGTATCTAGGAAACAGTTTTTGTAAAAGTAAATTTCTGTTTAAAAAAATAAAAATTGTCGTAGTTTGATTTAAAAACTCAAGTTAAGAACATACTAAATTATATATTGATAGTAAAATCACTTTTTGAATTGGACTTTCGAATTTTTACCATACTCAAAATATTCTTATACTAATAAAGTTTTATTTTAATTATGAAATCCGCAGATAATGTGAAAGGATCTTTATACTTCATTTATGTAAGTAAGTAAGTAAGTAAGTAAGTAAGTAAGTAA